AGGGATACGTGATCGCAGTAATCGATCAAATTAATGTCGATCAGTGTCGGGGTGGGTCGGTCTCGATCCACGTTCCCTTTATTGAATTTATCCGCAAGGGTTGATGGTGCCGCTAAGCTGACGTACAAATCGATAAACGTGAACTGTCGCACGTGCCGTCCGTGACCGTCGGTTACCGTCACATTTTTATCGTCGCTCAAGGATAATGCGACGCAATTGCGACTCTATCGCTCGTCGTACGCGTGGAGACGCTAGGCGTTCTCCACCCACGCTTATGAGTCGATTCGCGCGGAACCGATTTTCGAGCGTCCGCGTGCCGAACACGCGAAATCAGCGCTATTAAATCCGCCCACGCGCGGCTCGATACCACTTTTCCTTCGCGACTCGAAAGACTCGCGTCGCTAGACGTGAGAATCGAGTGTATATAGACCTCGCATAGCTTCTCAAGAAGAACAAGTCACAATAACGTTAACATGATATTAAAATACTATATCAATCACGACTGTTTTGTTTTCATCAAAAAATAATCTAAAAATCGTGGAATTAATAAAAAGTGCAAAATCGCAAAAAAATGGATCGGCTATAAAAAAAAAATCCATTTATGTATCGTACATTGAAAAACTGCATAAGTGATTTTTGATAATCATTTTGGATTTTTGCTCAACTTTTGGGTTACACTATTTGAAAATTTCGTGTTGCAATATCGAGAGATTAATGTATTGCAGATTGCTGTTTACGCGAAATGAATAATTTCTATAATTGCTTGCAAAATAAATGTGCGAGTACTTTTTATTATATAGTGACTTATTAATCATACACGCGATTCGAAAATAACGCATTACATCACAAATGTTTAGTCATTCGTAAGAAATGTCAGGATACCGCTTTTTGAAACATTAACGTTTGAAACGTATTAATATTGCGATTGGAAATCGAGATAATCTCTTAAACAGAGCAACAGGTCATATAGTAACGTTACAATCGAAGAGTGACTTTTGATAATTATTTTAGAGATATTTTGATGCCATGATGTTTTAAAATTATGATGACTTTTTGTTTTGCTTGGGTTACGTTATAGACATAGAAGAATAAACTGCCCTCTGATCTCAGCATTTTGCTTTGTTAAAATTGTTAGGAAAAATTAAGCATCTTTTTTCAACTCTGAACTTTAAAGAAAAAACAACATGATACACGTCTTTCTAAGTCAAGAATGACAACTTCATAAGAATGTATTGTCTGTTCTTATTATGTTTACATCATTATCGATTTAGAAAAAGTGAGATAGCTTAATCAATCACTATCTGTCTCTAAAAGTTGAACAGAGATGCTTAATTTTTCCTAACAATTTTAACAAAGCAAAATGTTGAGATCAGAGCGCAGTTTATTGACGAGCAATTTTGTCAAAATCCTACGAAAAAGAAAAATACCTTTTCTCTACGTATATATATTTTCATACTTTAATTTATACTGTGTCATTTTAATTAAAATATAGAGTGAGACAGAATAAGTTAATACAAGGTAGTATATTTACCTTTCTCTTTCGGAGAACTGTTATAAAATATCTCGTCTAGAGTTGAAGAAAAATGCTGATATGATTCAATTCTTTTTAACGGGACTCAAATGATAAGATCAAGAAATGCGCAATCTATGTCTATTACATCTATAGGATATGTCATCTAGATAAATGCGTGGAAACAATTACAGAGGCACAAAGGCGAGAGATTAAAACCGAGTTTCTCGATGTTTCTTGCAGAAGCGGCTGGATGCCCATTGCGAGATGGTCGTAAATCAGACGCGCACGCCGAATAATTCTCGTAATCTGCTTCAACATAGAAGATTTCTGTTTCGTTGCTCTGAAGTAAACAGTGCGGTTATCTGAGAACCATCGATCTTTCTTATGATCTTTCTACAAAGTTAAAGCGAACGTTATTCACTGCGGATAAATGGAGAACCGCGGAGTATCGTTGCGTCGTAATTCACGCGAGTCATTCCCGACCTGACGGTGTGCGGTGCTCGCTGAGAATCATCGATCATTCTTGCGATTATACCCGCGAAGTGAATTCGTAACCGGATATGCTCGAGCGAGTTGTGAACGAACGAATGGAGTAGTGTCGCAATTCGACGGACTTTCCATTCTCGTAGCCTTGCTCCGAACACGAGGAAAGATCGAGAAATCGCGGGACGATTCGCGACGAGTCTCGAGCTCAATAAACGTCTCCTACCAGGGCAGTGTACGACATCGAGCTGCGGTGCGGGAGGCAGCGGTGGAGTCGTAAGAAATTGTCCAGGTTGATATACGGTCGATCGATAGCACGGTGAACTTCCGCGATCGATATCCCCGGGGAGTGGTGCGTTGCACTCGCGCAATGAGAACATCGTCGTCATTGTCTACAATAATGATGTTGTTAATTGTAAGAGTGGAGCACTCGACCCGTCGATATCCGTGCGATTACGAGTGCATCGAGCGCAATGTCAAAGCGACCGGTCGCTTCCGGTAGCCGAGCGCTGACACGATTCTTGAGGAAGGGAACTCGCGGGACAGACGATTGCGATTACGCAGAGAGAGGTGAGTGCATTATGCGTCATCCAAGTGATTCTTGCGATCGCATGCTCCTCGTATGTTGCATGCTGCGAGACTTCTATTCAAGGCCCGACTGCTTTTGGGTTGCGCGCGGTCCTCGAGCGAAACAGGTTGTAAATCTCCTGAGTTGATGCTCTTCAAGGTCTTTTCCTACAACGCAGAATCTTAAAAGGAAAAAAAAAAAGAATAATAAACATAGCTAATGCTTATTTTGTAGGGATTATTAACTTAGTAATAAGAATTAATTATCATTAAACACGTATATATTCATCTTATAGTAATCGAAAGATTGAGTCATAAGTTTGTTTTAAAATTTCATGAACGTATTCTTGGACAAAAAAGAAGAAAAATATGTTTATACACTAAGTGTATATTTTTAGTATTTGTATAACTATAATTACATGTTATCATAATTATGATTATTATTGTCTTATTGTTAATAATAATAACTAGATATATGTACAATTCTATCGACAAATGTATAAGTTGACAATAATGATTATTGTATTTATAATAATAATAATTAAAATATTACAATAAAAATTATTTTAATTACTATACTATAATTTAGTTATAATTTACAGTCATTTTGGAGGATAACGTTATATAACAATAATAATCATAATTATGGTCATAGTAGCAATTTTTTTTTCTTAATATACAAACACTAGATCGCAAATGCTTCATCGTCGAAATAATGGATACAAATATAGATTTGAAATAACTGTGTATCAAATCGTATTCAGCCATGTATGATGGACAATTCTTGAGCGTCGTAAACAAAATTTCCACCTGAAACTTATAAATAAAGTTATTATTTGATATTACTATATTTATGTTCATTATGTTAACAATGAAATGTTTGTTATCTAATTTGTTCATAAAAATATTTATTCTTTCTTTTCATCTATAGGAACACGCTCATAAAATATGAAAACATATTTATGATTTACCCTTTATATATATACATATATATATATATACTATATACACAAATTTATTTCTTTTTCTTTTGATGGTCATTGTATGCCTTAATAGCCGTGTTAGAAAATAAGGAAAGTATATAAATCACTCATAATATTTGCTCACGTATATTTCCTCATATCTTTCAATGATAAAAGCTTACGAAAAGAAGATTGTTTATCTGAAATCAAAAGCTAGCAAATAAAATTTAGTTAATGATTCATTATAGAATTCTAGGATTTAAAATGTAATTACACGAAAAGAAAGGAAGTCATAGATCTTTATATCAAGAAAAAATATTTATGAGTGATGTGTGTGGATAAGATTCATTTATGGTTGGATAAATAGCTTTTTATAGAGATTTGTATATGGACACTTCAGTGCGGAAAATATTTCATTTTTTCAAATTAACGATAGGTGGTATGTATTGTATTTCTACTCTTTTTATCATTAACGTGATAACGTTAAATGACATCTATCACTAATTTGAAATAAATAAGATATCTTTTCTTAGTGCTGAAGCGTCCATAAACAAATCTTATAAAAAATGATTTATCCAGTCAGTGCTTGCTTGATAGCAATTACTTTTTCATCGTGCGATACTTCAATAAAATCTCTATATCTAATAAAAAATAAGAAATAATAAATCGTAACAATATAATAAATTAAGAACAGAAAATTACACTGAGAAAAAGATGATTGCAGTTACCATAATTTAATTATAATTTATAGTAATTTATAGTTTTAGAGTTATAACGTATTACTATATCGTTATAGAAATAATAACCTTAAAAAGGAAGCTCTTAATTATAACTACTTTATCATGCAATTATATTCACAAGTATCAAAGATTTTCTCTCAGCGTATAGTATATATAAGTCTACTCATTATAATTATATGTTGTAAACACACATTTAGCTTCATTAATCATTCATTTATAATTATTATAATTTTATCTTAGCGGCTTAAACATCCTTCACAATTCATTTTTGAAATTATATTAATAAAAACATTAAAAACATGTTCTACACAAAGTTGAACTCGGTTCCTCGACTCGGTCAAACTAGTTTGTCGGGTTTAGTTCGTTTAATTTTTAAACGCCACGTATCCAAACGACTATACAATATCATACCGTCTGCTTAGCACTTCGAGTGTTAAACGTAATAAGAGTGAAAACCTGGAATTAATTGATTTCAGCTAATCAATGGCGTTCGATAATTTGACGCTGCCCACGCACGACCACGCGATGCCTACGAGGGAAAGTCGATCGTGACGTCACTAACATTATCACACCGTGTCCGAATACAATTGACGTGTTGTTGCCGAAGTGTACACCTGACGCGGTTTCCTCCTCCTTCGTCGTATATCGATCGAGAACCGCGAGTTCGTTCTGGTGACGGAAACAGAAGTGACGTTACGTCGTGCTGTGTCGTGGAAGGAACACCGATAACTCGTGATGTTGCCGAAGAAAGACAGTCAGACGGAGCCGTACGCTCTCGAAGATATGATATCGGATCTGCAGGCGAGGAGGCACTCGTTGGATCACGAGGACATCGTGCAGGATCCAGCCGAGTTGCTGAAGCAACGCGAGAGAGACCTCGTCCTGGCTGCTGAACTTGGCAAGGCTCTGCTCGAAAGGAATCAGGAGTTAACGAAGCAGACCGAGACCTTAGTCGAGGAATACTCCGCCAAATTAGAAGTGAGTACATATTATGAAAAAAAATTCATTGAGAACGAAATATATCCGATAGTTTTGACGTAAGGAAAAATTTAATATGCGATATACCATATGTTTAAATTATAGCGCATGAAGTGAACGCGGAGTATTTTTACTCGCGTTTGCTCTGGCGAATTTGATTTTTTATTTAAATTTTTGAGAGTTCAATTAAATTCTTTTGATTAACACAAATTTAGTTGGCACGTTCGTTTCATAATTGGTTTCGGAAGAAGAATTTACCTTAGAACTGATTACAGACTTAGAAAAAGATTATTATTTCTTCAATTCAATACAAACAGACAAACGATGAAAATATTAATAAAATATTAATAAAAAATGCTGAGATGAAAGTTGCTTATTTGTGCGAGATGCACAAGTCGCTCGGCAAAGAGAGATTTATGAAAATGTAATTCGAGCGTTTTCTCTCTTAAGTGCGAAATACATAACTATACGAGAATAATTTATCGTCCACGCCAGCAGTTAAGAGATAACGCTTACATAATTTTTTGCTCGGAGTTTATTAAATAAAAATTAATTAGTGCAAAGAAAGAGAGAGAGAGAGAGAGAGAGAGAGAGAGAGAGAGAGAGCGCACCGAGTTTCCGATTTAACGAGGTGAATTTTATTTTCGACACGCCTGCGGGATTACACTTCGTACGAGGAAGACACGGAGAGCTGAAATAATATTTGTAATAGAAAAATACGCTGAATCTGGCTCTGTTTCGCATATATATAATGCAATACGTTCGTTGCACGTGTGCAACGGCGCAGCAGTTGGCGCGTTGCAACTTGCAACCAGCTCGTGCTCCACTTTCGCGAACGTTATAATCCTCCTTCGATTTTATATCTTATTACATTGCTACCAGTTTTATGACGAAATGGACTCGGAAACCTGAAATGACTCACTGACCATGTAAACATCAGCTTTTCGAGGATCTGCCTATTGCGACGATTATAGGGACATCACTAGACGTTTACATTACTAAACTTATCGCTAGAACACACATGTTTTATCTGATTGATAAACTCGTTAATTGTATACAGATAATACGTTTTTGCGAATAACTTTCAATATTTTTATCTACTTAAAGTCAGATGTTTCTTTTCGAAACCTTTTAAGGCTAATCTACTACACTTTGCTTCTTATTTTTTTTTGTTTTTTTTTTGCCTGTTTACCTTTTATCTTGTTCCCTCGTTTTTTCTCTCGCCCAAGATAAAGTTGACAAGCTTGGAAGAGACAAAAAACACATGACTATATATATATATATATATATATAGAAATAAAATACATGATTTTATTATATATAGAAACCATGGGTTTCGTAGATTATCCGTTCAAATCTGTTATTATTAGAATGTCAATCTTTCGTGAATATTGCAGTTTATTTCATCAGGGCGAGGAGCAGTCTGATAAAGATTACGTAAGACAGTAAATTGGTACTGATTAGGCTACTTCTTGCCCTGACGAAGTAAACTGTAATGTTCACGAAAGATTGGCATTCTAATAAATGAATTTGGATAGAGATAACTCGCGAAACGTTTAGCTTTCATATAGAAAATTCCGATAGAAGTCTCAAAAGTACATATAAGCAAGATATACGATTATTCACAAAACAGTTACGAAGAGGAGAGGAACAAAAGACAGGAAGCAAGAAATAGGAAGCAAAGAGTACATTGCAGATTAGCTTTTAACAACAAGAATCGCTCACGTGTCATTCTATAGAGTTAAATGCATCTCGTTATCGATCGATCGAAAGCATGGACCATGTCATTCACGCATCATTAAACGTGATGAAAATTGCCGACTGCATTATCGCAAATTACTAGTCACTCGTGTCGCTGATGTAAATGCAGATCCAGAGATAATCGGACGAAGGTTTTTCTCGGCATTTACTTTCTTAACAATGGCGCAGCCGAAGGTCCGAGAAACGGACGCCGAACAATTGCAAAATTAAAGACAGTTCTAACGTTAACCGGCCGGATATATTTTCACCTTCATGTTTAACAGGCACGGTCGCTTTCCAACATTACGCTACCGGCCGGCGCGGCTGCGGAAAATTTGTTGCCGTGATGTATGCGAGCATGTAGCGCGCCGATTACATAAGACAATAAACAACGCGGAACTCGTTGTCGGAAAGATCGAAAATGCGTGCTGCGCCTTTTATTCGAGAAATGAGGGACAAATGAAATAAGCGACGAAACTAATTGTAAGCCAATTTCGGAAGTCAGAGGATAGAAAAGATTCCTATATTTTAATTGTTAATATTAAGGCAGGAACATTTTGTAAATAGACATAGATTTCGTAAACGGAAAGATAATTTACTTTAGAACCGAATGCAGATGCAAAAAGTTATCATATCATTTTTTTGATTAAATATATACACACAAAAGATAAAAATATTAATAAAAAATACTAAAGTAAAAATTTTATTTATACAGGCTGCACAATTTGCTAGGTAAACAAATGATGTATGTATCAATAAACGATATGGTTTATTAAAATTTAAATTAATTAATTAAATTAATTGTGCTTAGAAGCTGCAAAATTTGATACATTTTCATCAACGTGTTTTATCATAACGCAATCTTTCTACTTCTCTTAATGTGCTATCACTCGTTGTTGGAATAAATACAATTTCTCTCATTTTATATAATTGCCTTTATTTTACGGCTGTTTGCATGTGATTACCTTAAATGTTTCGTTTCCTCTTTCTTTTGTGTCTTTCCAAGAGATAGACGACACTCATGAGACATCGAGACGGCCAAGCGAGACGGTTAGGGTTACTCATGTCCGCCTTAAACATCAAGCTGTTCATTTACCGTCGAGTATTATTATTGCTTCTCTTGCAATGACTATTCTCTCCTCTGCGAATCACAAAGAAAAGAAAAAAAAAATAAAGTTCAGCGAACAAAAATCACTGAGAATTTTGTTCCAAATCGAGACACACAAGTCTGAATTTCAAGTGTGTTCTTCTTTCTTCTTTGCCATGATTTGTAGACGCGATCAAAAATTCACCTCCATGTACAACACAAAATCAAAATAAGATCAAGTTGAAATCATATTTTAATAATCACAATAATTTGATACATTTGTAACAATAATTTTGAGATAAATTTTTGACGTGACAATAATTTTTAAACGATAGTTTTGAAGTTATAATAAAATCATCAAAAGTGTACTGAATCATTATAATTTTTTCTGAAATAACTTTAACTTGACATCATATAAAATTATTCTATTATGATTTTTGGTGTTTTATCTATAAGTTGAACAATAATTCTTTGTACCGATTTTCGACGAGAATACGCGACATGCTTCGTTGAATTAGTATAGAAAGAATGGTTTTGCTGAAGTATCCAAAAATTGAACTAAATATAGATTTGAAAATAATTTTGCTTGAATCATCAAAATAATTATTATGTAAGCCGTTCAAGCTGATTGTTAAAAAATCAACATTTTTTGTAGCATTAGTTATTTCTTACATAATTATTTTGATGCTCTATAACAAAATTATTTTTTAATTTGTATTTGAGATACTTCATTAAAATCGTTTTTTTTTTCGTGCAGCGGAAATTTGTTCAAACAAGAAACTTTGCAATCTGCACCGTTTATTTCCATTGCTTCGAGCGTTTTTATTCTTTTCATCATTTATACGTTTCTCGTAGATTTCGACAGAATTAGCGTAGGTTGCGGCAATTCGGTTGCTCAGCAGGTAACTAACACTGTTTATCTAATTGAACTTTCCTCTTTGTCTTTTGTGGTTATATTTCGCACTCGCTCTATGCCGGTGTTATTTAATTCAAAACTTGGTGTAATCGTGTCTTAATAATAATAAGCATCCGGGGACGGGGTTCACGGCGGCGCAGCACCCGGCGTTTCGTACATGGACAACGCTATTCCTGTCGACGACCACGGAGAGCCATGAAAGCGTGGAAACAAGCCACTTAAGCAACAACCAACGGCCCCAAAGACAATGCCCGGCACTACGCTCTGCCTGCGTCTGCCTACCCATATTCCCCTATCTTTCCGTATTCTGCCTGTCACCTTATTTTTGACCTCGGTATTGAGAAGACTTGCGCTTACTAGTGCCCTTTAAATCGGATCTGGACAATTACCCGTTACAGAAAGCACAGCTACACCTAGATACGATGAGACAAGCAACGAGCGATGAGAGAAGGCACGAGCCTCTAATCTAGAGTACGTTCCACTTGACGCTCGCAATGTCGCGAGCGTCACTTGTTTTTGTTCAACATTTGATAAACAATATACAGAAAAAAGTGTTTGGTTGTATTAATTGAAATAATTCCAAGAACATTGCAAGCGCCAAATGGAATGTAGTTCTTTTCTGGGATTAAATATTAAATATTAAAGTAATAATTAATAACATTGAATAAAATTAATGTAAGGAACAACGAACATAAATACAAATTTTTCATCTATTTCCCGATAATTAAATATTATAATAGAATGTTGAATATGTAACACGATATATTGAGATATTTATTTTAATTTTTGCTTGTGGTGTGTGCGCGACTTAGAATGGCTACCGGAATCACTTTAAATTTTTTGCATTTATACATTACACTTTCTATAGTGCACCGACAATGAGAAATAGCACGATAATAAGACATAAGCAGCAACCAGTGAAAACGCTAATACTTTTATCAATATTTAAACGTTAAAAAGTAGTTAATTAAAGTAAGAATATAGATTATATATTGTATTAATATATGACACGAAAAGAATGGAGGACCACAGTCGCAACACTCACAATAGTGTCTCCGCGAGAAAACAGTCGAGAAGATAACTACCTTCTTCCAAATGACAATACGTGACTCCCTTTTTACTTCCGGATCTAATTATTCTTTTCTGTGAGGACAGATCTCTTCGAACAAACCGTTCTCGCGGTTGTATGTAAAGCGAGAAACTCGCCGGAAAATTTTCTAATTGCTCACCTCTAATTTCTCACTATTCAAATAACAT